AGAATATGAAAATGTCTATCTGTGCCACACACATCCTTAGGAAGCTGAGCATCAACTTCCACGTATCCCACATAAGGGACCCTTTGTCCAGCTGCACCTTCAATATCCAGTGCCCCTTTAATGGAAAATAACTCCCTGTGAGTAAGGTACTGAGAGTAAAATGACTGAGATATGATTGTCACTTGTGAACCCGTGTCAATAATGCAGTTGCAATGGATGCCATCTAGCCAGGTTCCACTGTTACAAAGCTCTCCCACTAGTCCTTTTGGAATGTCAATAGTGACTGTCACATTTAGGGGATGCATAGAATGACTCAAAACAGAGAAACTTGTTTGACAGCAAGCTCGTGCTTGTTCCCTTCATGTTTAAAGGCAGGTGTGGTTGGGGATTTATTTGTGCTGAGCCTACTAGATGCTGATTCTGTCTATTCTGATGCCTTTCACAAAGTTTCTTTTGTACTAGCACAGCATTAGTTGGATTAGTGCGTTGAGGTAACATATGTGAGTTTTCACTACAGCTATACCAAAATTGTCCAGCTTTTTTGAGATTATCAGGAGAAGTTGAGACTGAGGGAGCTGGGCTGTTTATTTTAGCTCTTTTGGGAAACCTCTGCCTTGCTCTTTCACTTCTGAGTCTTGGGTCATTTTAGGCTGAAGTATTCATATGTAGTACAGCTTCAAGTTGCCCGATCCTCTCCTCAAGTTGCTCCCGAATATTGTGTGACACATTGGTGCAAAGAGGTTCGGGCTCAGCAGCAGTTAGATGTGCCTTAGTAAGGACTTTGGTGGAGCTATCCCCCCATGTGTTGTTTTCTCTGTATTTCCTTTAGCTGGCTTTCTTTCTCATAAGTTCTTATTTTGAAAAGCAGTTCTAAGAATGTCAGTGTTCTTTTGAGAGTGCCAGTCAGGGATTCTTTTAGTTGTAATGTTAATAGGTCATCCCAGCAGCCTCTTAGAAACTGTTTTAATAGCTGGGCATCAGCATCGTGTTTGGTAACTCCATTGCTTTCAACAACTTCCTGTAGCAGCATATGTAGCCGGTGCAGATAATCGGATGCTCTCTGTCCACTGTTCTGATGGGTTTCTAAGAATTTAATATACAACTCTTCCCCTCCTGTTACATTGCCATAAACCTTGTCTAATTCTCGTAAGTAGGCACTGGGTGGCTACTGGCTCCAATAAAGAGAGCCAATGTTAAAGCTGGAGCCAATAAACTTTAAAGCAATGTGCGCCCCTGCTGTAACTCTGGAATACTGGAGTCATTTAGTACCTGCTTAATCCCGAGCCACCAAACACCATAGTCCACCTCAAAGGGAGGCTTGGGGACGTTTCCAGAGAAAAGACGTAGCTCTCGTGTAGGAGGAAGATGTACGGGCAAGTCATGCTTAACCATATGCTCTACTATGACTTTCTGGACATCTGCTGGCAGAGGGTTGATAGGGAGAGAGTCAGTAGGAGTCTGTTTACTGGCACATGGATGACTAGCTCATCCATCTACTCTTTGAAATTGACTGTCATGTCACCAATAGCTTGGGCAAGGGGCACTAGGCTATCTCTAAGTGGCTCAGATGGAGAAAACTCATCAATCTGGATAATCTCCAAACGTGAATCAGGAACTACATGTTCATTGTCCAATTAATTTGGAGTTATATACTCATTAAACTGGCACAGGATGGTATGGGGAAGACCATCAATAGGTTGCACTCTAACAACGTCATCTAATGTTGCAAAAGCCCCTTTTACTTCCTCTAATCCCAATTTATCTGGGGCATCCCTTATTATCATAGAGAACTTTGGGTCAAATCCACACATGTCACTAAACTCCATTGTTAACCCTGAAATGGTAAATTCTCAAATGAATATACAAAGAGAGAAAAAAAAAAGAAAGAAAAAAAATTAGGGTGAGGTGGATGCACTTCTGGTCCCTTTTCGGGCACCATTTTTTTTTTTACTGTTATTGTTGTAACCACATAACCTGAGTTTACTACCAACCAGAATTTATCAATACACTTCTGGGACATAAATGAACCACACCTGAGTATCTCTTACCATTCTAAAAAAAAAAGAATATATATATATATATATATATATATATATATATATATATATATATATATATATATATATATATATATATATATATATATATATATAAATAAAACTGTTTTCTCACCCCTCGTGGGGTGGTATGTGTCATCCTCAAGCTCGGGTCCTCTACCAGAGGCCTGGGAGTTTGAGGGTTCTGTTCCTAGGACTGCGCTCTTCTGGACAGAGACCTCAGATGTTTTACCTGGAATCTGCTGTAGCCACTCTCCCAGTTTGGGGGTCACAGCCCCCAGTGCTCCAATAACCACTGGCACCACTGCTGCTCTTACTTTCCATACCTTTTCTAGCTTCTCTTTCAGCCCTTGGTATTTCTCAAGCTTCTCGTGTTCTTTCTTCTTGATGTTGCTTACGCTTGGGATTGCCACATCTATTACTACTGCCTTCTTCTGCTTTTTGTCGATCAACACGATGTCTGGTTGGTTAGCCATCACCAGAGCAGAAAACTTGGAACAGATGAAAAAAAAAACAAAAAACAAAAAAACAATATATATATATATTAAAGGATCCTTATACAAATATATGATATTTTAAAACAAACGACCTAAACAGACTTCAAATTTTTCATGAAATAATGCAGGAGAAAATCACCTGTATGCTTGGTTCACAATAACAATGAAGGTGTTAGGACTCCAGTCTGTGTGGTTTGTGTTTTTGTGTGTTTGTCTTCCTTCCTCCACCAGGCAGCACCTGGTCCTGATTCAACTCCTCACACACCTGCAAGGGGTTACCTCATTAACAGAGTGCTCTTAAGCTGCTGACTGCCACTACCTCTACGCCAGTGTGTTTGCCAGTTTTGGGTACTATAGCCAAGCTGAGTTTGCTGAGTCAACTGAGTTTTTGTCAAGTTTTAATCTTGCTTTTTGTATTTGCCTCTCGGCAGGAATCTTCCTGCAAACTGTACGATTCGGACCTTCTCTCCCTGGAAGGATCAACTGAGCCTCAAACTGAGCTGGGGATACAAACTGGAGGTTTGGATCCACTTTCCTCCAAGGGATCATTTGAGTTACACACTGAGCAAGGGATTCATCTGCACCTCAGTCCGTTCAAGTACAGCAGGAAGTCTGAGTGGCAGTCAGTTTCTCCATTCACCTACAAACAACCGCATTGTGGGTAAACCCTGTCCGCCCTCCACCGAATGAGACAAACATTGGAACACATCCCACACCTACTGGAGTCAAAGAGTCAACCATTTCTCTGGAAACGTGGGTCTGCTTACCTTTCCTCCTCTTCAAGTTCGAGAATCAATTTTCCCACTGAACCTGAACTAACCGCAGTGTCTTCCCCTCACCTTTCAGTTCCGGTTGAGCAGTGTTCAGAGGAACATTGGAATCTCTAAAAACTTCTCAATAAACCTGTTAAACTTTTTCCCCTGGTCTCTCTGTATTGGTTTCTCTGCACGTGGGTCCGAGCTCTTGATAAAATCCTGACAGGAGGGGAAAAAAAAAGAAATTTTTTTTTTAAATTTAATCACTGTCCATGTGTCCCATAAAAAAACAACAACAAGTATAACAAAAAAATTTTTTCTCAGTTGTCCCTTCAAAAGAAAAAATAAATGGTAGCTGGCCATCAAAATAAAATATTAACTTGGAGCTCTTATATTTATGTTGTGCGTGTGTTTGCCTGCAGAATGTGAAGGAAATTTCAGGATGTCCTCATTGATCATCAGGCACCTTTGCAGTCTCTCTCGTCCAAATCAACCGTGGCATCTAACAATGAAACGTCACAGAAGTGAACTGAAGAAACGCAGACGCAACGTGCTGCTCTGAAGTCCTGCACACTGCTCAAAACCCGCGATTCCACGGGGGTGGAAAAACAAGCTTACTGTCACAAACTGCCGCAATAGCGCTCAAAGAGCAATGCACCCCGAATGCAGAAAAAAACAGCTCTACTTACCTCTGGAATACAACTCCATCATGAAACCTTGTCTTTTTTCCAGCATATTAAACATGTTCATCCTTTTATCTAACTATCATTTATCCCTATGGTTATATAAAAGGACTTTTTTAAGACTTGGCAGAGGAAGATCAGCCACATATAAATTATGAAGTAGTGAGAGCAGGAAGAGACATACTACTGAGAGCAAACCATCAGAGTGGAGCGTGAAGCGCAAACTCTGAGTTAAGCCACGCAAAGACGAATTTCGGCCCAAGCACAGCTGGAAGATGAGTTAGTCAGAGTTCAGCGTGCAGTATCGGATCATTTGGATTGCTTTCACCCTCCTGCTGCTGGGTGGCAGGTGGACAGTGTGACCAAACAGGGTGCAGCAGCACAGCTGATACTGCTTAGCAGATTACAGCATGAGGATGCATTTTAATTGTCTAACAGACAACCCACTAACATTTTTATTCAGTCTCTTCCTGTCAACGAAAACTCACACCCACGACTCATCATGTTTTAGTCATCAAAGATCCATGTTTTCATTATCGTCATGAAAAAAAGAGTATCAATGAAATTATTTTGTTATCGTTGATGAAAACAACAGACTCACTCTGCCGATCACCGGGCGAGAAAGAGTCAAACATGTCATGGACTTTTATTTAGAATGTAGGCTGTTCTTTACTCCACCTCTATCTGGCTCCTACTTCCTTCTCTCAACACTTTCCTGCCATGGAAGGTCAGACCTACTGACTGTAACTGTTGGTAGCCCATTATTAATAATAGGCAGCTTGGGTATCCATACATGCTCTGGTTCCAATTGTTCCTGTTTAATGCTCCTGCTAGATTGACATGTTTAAATCAAAAGTCGTAAAAATGTTCAGGCTACCTTAACCAGCTCAAAATGTGTGCCTCCCATCCCATCGATCAGGGACAGCAGAGCTAGATGTTTGCATGTCAGCAACCGTGATAATAACTTCTTGTTTTTACTTGAATCCAATCAAATGTTTTTCAGGATCAAATGTTTCCTTTGTTCACATCAAAACCTACATGAACTGGACGGAGGCTCTGAGCTACTGCAGAGAGCATCACACAGACCTGGCCAGCATCAGGAACCTGGATGAGAACCAGAAGGTTAACAACACCATTCCAAAAGACAGAGTCTGGATCGGCCTGTACAGAGACACCTGGAAGTGGGCGGATGCCAACAACTCAACGTTTAGGAATTGGAACAAAGAAAACAATAAACCAAATAGCTACGGGGAGAAGGAATGTGCAGCGGCTAACTTTGGGAGATCTGGCCAATGGGAGGACTGGAACTGTGGGGAAAGGAAGGCCTTCATTTGTTACAGCGGTAGGAACCAGTTTGATGTTTTGTGGTGATCTGCTTGTAAAGCTGCCTCAGAACGTGACTGAACTGAATCTGATAAATCAGGCTGTTCCATCTCCATTTAGTGCTGTCTGTCCTTGGTTCATAGTTAGTAATGAGTCACGGTGCTGATCATTAGTCTTATTTAGCCCATTAACGGAGGACACTGCAATTACTCCAAAGAATAGAAGGCATTCATGTTTTACTCCATCTCTTCTGTACTGTGTTGATTTTCTGCCGCTCAGTTCAGTCTGGGAAACAAATGAAGTTTGGTTTTAGGTTCAGACCAGGAAGCTGAAAGGGCCTCAGAGAGACGGTCAGGATAACCTGGGGGGACAACATGATGATATACTGATTGGTTAGGATGGCGGTAAGATGCTGGCGATTATGATACGATAACCAATAAAGTCCTTTAGCAAGTCTGTGACTGACATGATGCATGATGCAAACCTGTTAGCATTGATGCTGCTGCTACCGTATGCTAAAGACGAAGGTGTGGATGGAGGTTATCGAACTGTTAATTATTTAATCACCATATTAAGATGGATCAGTAGCATTTAGCTGCTTCTAACTAACATGAGCTAAATGTGCTATTAGAACAGTCATTCTCCAGAGGAACAGCAGGAGGTAAAACCTTTTTTGTTCCCAGTGAGGTTAGATTCTCCATCCATTAGAATCCACAAAGACCCTGTTGGTGAAACAGGAACCTTTCTCCTGTGGTTTTATTTACATTTATTTAATCTTATTTGATTTGCAGAGTAAGTTCTTAATTCTGTTATATCTTCATCCTCAAAAAGAGATGAAGAAAAGCCAAGGGTGTAGGTTTGATTCCAGCTTTGGTAGGGACACTATTGGTCTTCAGTTTCATTGGTCATTTGCAAAAACATGCATGCTCTATTTTATGCTTAATGTGAGCATCAGGAAACATTTAGTTTAAAGAAAACAGCAACATTTCTGCTACATTAATATAAATGTTATCAGCTCTGCACTCACTAGATGCTGTTTATCAATATTTAAAGCATCACTGGCTCTGATCAATGTGGAATTAGGACTTTTTTCCAAAGGTTTGCATTTTAACTTAGCAGTGACTAAGACAGAAGGTAAATATTTAACCAAATTTAGTCTAAATATGTCTGTTATATGTGGATTTATCTTGTGTTTTCTTTTGAAGATATAGAATTGTGCAGAGGTAACCAGAAGTATAACTCTTATTCTTTATCTAATATGCTCTCTCTGTATCATGCAAAATAATACATTAAAGGGACGGCAAATAAATGTATTGTATTTACATGAGCACTGGAACTATAAGAGGAACTGACACTGAGCATTTAAAATATTAACTTCACTATACAAGTTGTACATCTGGGCTGTAGTTACTCTGTGTCGCCCATTTCAAGTATTTTATCTATGGCTGAAACAATTAATCATATTAATCAATAATTTAAATTATCATCAACTAATTTAGTAATTGATTAATCATTAACTGGAGTATAGAGCCACTAAAATGTGCCTTTAGCCGACAGAGCGACCCACTTAGAGCAGGAATTATACCAAGATTGTAAAAAATATGTAAACATTTTGCATTTAAGTTAAAAAAAAGAAAGTTTTTGTCTTTTAATATTCTCCATCCAGATCTCCTGAAGAGGAAACGTTTCTCTTTCACCTGGTTTCATTTGGTAAAAAAACAATCTTTAAGGAACCTTTGGCTGATCTGATTACTAATCGATTCATTGAAAAAAGAATCGACACATTAATCAATTAGCAGAATAATCATTAGTTGCAGCCCTAATTTTATAGTAACTTTCCAAACACATTTCTTCCATCATGCAGCAGTGAAGGGCAGCTGCTTCACCCTGAGGCTGCCCTGCAGCATTATATCTGTTTCCTACAATCATATAGTGTTTCTAGTGAGGTTTAAGTAGTAAAGGATTAAATGTAACAACCTTTTATCATCATCCTATATTGCTACTGTCTTTAAATAGCTCCTTATGTCTATTTTCTTTTTTAGTGGCATCATCTACAAACACAACACTAAGAATGAGCCTAAGTTTATTCAAATATAAAATCACTTTTAACAATAATAAAAGACAATTTAACACTATCTTATCTGTAATGTAATGATATCCAAAATAAACAGCCAGATTCAAGCATTATTTACCAGACATTAATGTTTGTATTAATTTACTTATGGACCGAGTGGAAATCTAGAACAATAGAATCACTGTAAATAGAGTTCCTCTGTTTGTCTTTATCCTATTTCTAGAAGTAGAATCAATTAAATAAAACTATTTTAATGTGGAAAACAAAAATGAGCAGATCTTTAGCATCCTTCTCCCTTGCTCTTCTTGTTGTTATGATGTACAAAATAAATAAAACCTGTAATTTATGCCTGAACTGCTGTCAAAAATGAATACAGTAATAGCAAAGAAATATTGGTGAAAGGGAATCAGATGATAGTTTACAGTCTTTGTTAATTTTAACGGCAGTTTTCTGAACTCCTGTCCGACTCAGAATATTTAGTCTGAGAAAAGAAATCCTAACTTTGGTTACTTTCATTTCTCAAGTTCCAAAAATCCAAGCTCTGTCCTGCTTCTATACAGAACTGTTATCAGAAGCTTTCGCCATAGATTATATTTAGTTTTTCAATTGAGACTAGTTTCCTAGCCTAATGTTAAGTTTGATAACTGCCTATTCTAGCGTCATTTTTTTTTCTTGCTCCAAGCACGCACACACATACAGGCTAGAAAACAATCAGAAAGTGAGAAGTAGGAACTTAAGGCAGAACAATCAGAGAGTTAAACAGCACAGTACAGTTCCATGTGCTGCTATGGGAGAGATACAGAAAAGAGCAGGAAACTGCAGCTACCAGGCAGAGGAGCTGGAAAAGAAGCCACTGCTGCAACAACGCTGTAAATTATAATCATGTTGTTCACATCCAATTATTGGTAGGGACAAATAGTTCGGTCCAAAATTTTGGTAGGGACATGTCCCTAGGGTCCCTATGCAAATCTAAGCCCATGAGAAAAGCTAAACCATGCCAGTCGTTATCCAACATGTTCAGACAAAAGGCTTCAGCTTCTGGTGAAAATAAAAAACAGAGATCACATTTCTCCTGTATCAGCCTCTCATTATTGGCTTACTGTTAAATCCATTTATATGTTGTAGCATGCAGAACTCAGTAATCCAACCTGACACAGTTAAGGTGAGGATGTTGCAGACAAGGGGCAGGCAGGTCCTGGAGATGAGTCCAACAGTTCATGCAGGGGCAGACCTGAAGCAGAGTAGATGACAGCATCAGGCTGGACAGTTGGCAGAGAGGATTAGCCCATGCTTCTTGTTGCAGCACTTTTAAATAAAAAGCTAATGGTGCCCAGAAAAACCAGACGTCTGCTGTTCTCTGGTGTTTGTCTCTGCAGTGCTCTGCAGCAGCGCCTCAAATCCTGTGCGTAAATACTTCTTTGTTGAAGAGCTGAAGAACTGGACTGAAGCTCAGAGTTACTGCAAAGGGAATTACTCGAACCTGGCAGTGTTGGAGAGCATGGAGGACGTGAAAACACTGAACAACTTGGTGGCATCTCTGGGTAAAAATTCGGTATGTTCACATTAAACCACAGGTTATTAAAACTATTTAATTAAAACAGGGGAGCGTATGACAGATGAGCCAGGATTATCCAGAGCTTTAAACACTCTTTGCAGATAGCCTGGATTGGGCTGTACAATGATGTCAACAGCTGGAAGTGGTCTGATTCTGCATCTGACACGCAGCAGAGGGATCAAAATGAGTTCACAAATTGGGCAAATAATGAGCCCAATAATCTAGGAGGAAAAGAAAACTGTGTGCAAATATATAGCGATGGATCCTGGAATGATGAACCTTGTTTTCAAGAGCTAAGCTCGGTCTGCTCAGATATCGAAGGTGAGAGTTTTAAAGATAAATTCTGCTTTTACTCTCTTTTGTCCCAACAAGCCAAATTAATCAGTTTTATAGATCATTGCTTTAATCTAAATTGTAAGACTATATTTAATGAACAAAGTCCTTGTTTCAGGTACGGATGTGAAGTTTGTCTACATCAGTCTTGAGATGAACTGGACCGAGGCTCAGAGCTACTGTAGTGAACATTACACTGGCCTGGCCTATGTGAGGAACATAGAGGAGAACCAGAAGGTTAAGAAGTTGATACCAGCAGGACAGAAAACATGGATTGGTCTCCACAAATTCCTCTGGATCTGGGTCGATGGAAGCCAGTCCTCATTTCGTCACTGGGGCTCCGGGGAACCCAGCGCAGCTGATAAGCTGTGTGCGATAGCAAACCTGGGAAATTCTGGCCAGTGGGAGGAGTTGGGCTGTGATGAACTACGGCCATTCGTCTGCTACAAAGGTCAGTCAAAGTCAGGCATTTAGGTCTAACCACATTTACTTCCAGTGGGTAAAACAAAGACCAGATCTGGACATTTCAAACTTCACGGATTCCCCAGAGGTCCCTCAGTGCCTGATTGGGTAGTTATTAGTACCTCCTAATCTGCCCAAATAGTGAACAAAGACTGAGAAATAAAGGAAAGATGTTGTTTTGTTAATGCAGCTCTGGGAGATAAAAACGTTTCTCTGGTCATGCAACATGTTTAGAACTTTACTCTGCAGTTTATCACTACTTTCAATAACTCATCCTGCAGGATCACGGTTAAATAACAACATCCAAGCTGCGACTCTATCTATATAGATATAGCTGCAGAAAGGAACAGCTGATCAGATTCACCTTCCCAGTTCAGATTATCTTAGTAAAGTCCTGGAAATAAAAAGGGTTTATAGATTCATTTAGGATACTTCAACCCAATACTGGCTTGTAGATGTTTGTATATCCTTAATACTAATAAAGGCATTTGCTCTCTATGAGCCCCAAGATGTTACCAGCATGGGGGTGCCATGCTGCACTCTGGACTTGATTTGAATTCACCTGTAGACCCTCTACCAGACAGACTCTTTATGTCTTTGGCATTATACACTAAGTACAAAGAATAAAAACCACCTGAAGACCAAATAAACACTTTTACTCGATAAAAGCTGATCCATAACAACAAAGAACACATTTACACATAAAATACAGCAAGTAAAGCAACAAATAAAGCCAGACCATCAGCAGCATAACATCCTATCGCCTGCTTTATTTATCTGATTGATAAGATTTTAGCTGCACATAGATGCTGACCTTCAAAAGCTGATGAAACATTTGGGACATTGAACATATTGGAAAAGTGTCATTTTGGTCAAATTTTGTCTTTTTCTGCAAATGTTAATGCATTTCTGCTTTTCATGCACCTCCACTCTGAAGAAAAGGAACCCAAAACAACTCCTTCTCTCCTTCACTCTGCTCGTCAATGTTTTGGCTTTCTTCCCAAAAACATTTCCTTGAAGGCTGACTCTAAGAAGTGTGCCCAGGAGGATAGTTCATAGAAGTTTGCAGGAAGGTAGTTTCTAGAGGTTTACCCAGGAGGGTGGTTCCTAAAAGTTTGCTCAGGAAGGTAGTTACCATAGGTTTGCCTAGGAGGGTAGTTCCTAGAGGTTGGCCCAGGAGGGTAGTTCCTAGAATGTTGCCCATGAAGGTAGTTCCCAGAAATTTTCCCAGAAAGGTAGTTCCCAGAAGTTTACGCAAGAGGATAGTTCCTAGAAGTTTGCCCAGGAGGACTGTTCATATGAGTTTGCCCATCAATGTAGTTCTTAGAATTTTGCCCAGGAAGGTAATTCCTTGATGTGTGCCCAGGAGGATAGTTTCTAGAAGTTTAACCAAGAGCATAGTTCCTAGAGGTTTGCTCATAAAGGTAGTTCCCAGGTCTCTCTGGACCTTTAAGATTGAGTTTGTCATCAGCCCTGCTTTAGTTCCCTTAAAGCTCTCTACTCATCAGCATGCACCTTCCATTACTGTGCTTAGACTGATGACTCCAGGTGCTTCAGTCGTGGGATGCAACTCTTGGTTGATTGAGAATGTGGTCCTATGTGGTCCATATGTTTTTCCTTTCCTGTTCTACCTACATTGCAGTGTCCATATAATCTGTAAAACTCCCTGCATAATTATAATAAAGCTATTTATATGCATAAATCAAGCGGAACACTATGGCGTGAAAGTAAAATCTGTTGGGCTCTTTTTGGCATCAAGACAATTATTCTTATTGCCACATTGCCAGACAGGACACTGTAAAAAGAAAAAAAAGAGAAAATGTGGTCCTAAGGAACATACTTCGGTGTCCTGCATCTTCATTTTGGACCATACAGTTATTTCAATCTTTGAGGCTTCTTCAACTTCTTTATTCCGTATCCACTAAACTGGTCAAGTTTATTTAGGTTTTCCTCATCTGCGAATTATCAGCAGAGCTGCTGAAGGAGCTGAACTCACGAGGAAGGCCTCAGACTGTTGGCATTACCAGTCTGGTAACCTGAAGGTGTCATGCCAACTATAGCTGGTACTCTTCTTCTTCTGGATCACTCCTCTTCCTCAGTCCCTGTAACCTCAGCATCAATAAAACAGATCACTACACTCTCGCTACGAAAATAAACTATTAATCATAATTCAACCCTCCACAGTGGCCCTCCCACTCACTCACAATTCTGAATCTTCTCCTTTCCTCTCAGATGCCTGTTTTAGAGCTAAAAACTGAGTGCTATGACAGCACAGGCTGTTCCTGCTGTGAGAGGTTTAGATCTGAGGTCAAAAGTTCATGAGCAGAACCCTCTTTGGAAGGGTGGTTGTCCCTAAAAGTCCCTAACAGCAAGGCAGTCTGACCCCCATTCACAAGAAGCAGACACACACGTTTAGTTTTTAAGGGAAAGATTTCCTTTGGTGGAAAGTAAAGAAAACGCTCTGTTTTACCATAGTTGTTCAGGTTACATACATTTATATTATTAACTTGGTTTCTTAAATCCATTCTAGAGTGTCAATCAGGTTTAAATTTTTTATTTTTTTTTTTTTTACAGTGTCTTGTCTGGCAATGTGGCAATAAGAATAACTGTCTTGATGCCAAAAAGACCCCAACAGATTTTGGTTTCACAAGTGTAGCAGTATGGCAATTGCCATACTGCCAAACTTGTTTCATGCATTTAAATTGCTTTATTATAATTATGCAGGGAGTTTTACAGTTTATATGGACACTGCAATGTAAATAGAACAGAAAAACAGAAGAAGAAAAGGAAAAAAGAAAAAAAAGAGAGAAAAGATGAAATAAAGAAAGAAAGAAAGAAGAGATAGAAAGAAAGTAGAGATAGAAAGGAGATAATGACAAAACATTTTCAGTCTACTTCATCACCTGTAACGAGATGAAAAAAGAACAGCACAACCGAAAGACATGGTACGAGAGATACAATAAAGCAACATCTTGAAGCTATTGCTAAAGTAATATTATTAAGTCTGACATGTACTCTGTGTTACCTGAAGATATGAATGTGGGGTTTCTGTTTGGAAGTGAATCTCTAAGTACCTGAAGCCTAGCACCTGTAATTGTTTGTGAGAGTGAACTTGTGCATGTAAAGTTTATCCATAGAAAAAATGCTCAATAGTGGTTGTGGAGAGCTGAAAGGGCACACCCCCCAGAGCACTGAGTCCAGCGCCAGGAGACCCAAAGCCCCAGGCGCCCATAGGGACCCCTAGAGCGAAGGCACCAAGGAGTGGCCAAGGAGTGCGGCTCCCTGTGCCGGCGCACAGGGAGCCGCAGGGACGACCCAAGAGCAGAAAAGCCGCCCGGCGCCTGACCGCAAGAAGAGCAGACTGCAGCCCCGGTGCAACCACCCCCCCCAGCAGCCCGCGGGCAGCGCAAAGCCAGAGCGAAGCGAACCACGCCGCTCCCCCACCGGACGAAGCTAGAGCAGCACAATCGAGTGCGCCTGCCGCCCGCACCAGCCTCCAACGCGTGGCCGAAGCAGCTCCGCCGCCCCAGCCCCCTGACGTGCGCCGGTTGGAGCCACTACAACCCCCACCCGCCCCGCAGCCACACCCGCCGCGCTCAGGGGGAACAAAGCAGCTCCACCATGCCTCCGAGTAGAAAAACCCACCCGAAAACCTAATCAGTGCAGCCAGCCCATCCACACAACCCCCGCCGGAGCCACCCCGACCCCCACACACCAGAGGCGAGAGACCAGTGGTTGGTCCTGGGATTATCGGATGACCCAATAAGTGAACCTAAAATCCACATGGGGGGAGGGGAGCGGCAACACCGCCACACCAACCCATCTCCTTCCTGCTTCAAGCCCGGCCCCCCACCCCGCAAATGGACCGGACCACCCCCAGCAAGAGCCCCCCCTGGGACCGGGGCCCACCCATCCCGCGCAGCCCATCCAACCAGAACCGCCCCCCCCCAAACAAATAAAAAAAAGAAAAAATACTTCAACCAGGCACTTCATGCCCCTCCTTCCAACCTTCTTTGGGGAGAGAAGAGGCGACAGCCCCGCCACCGGCAGGCCACCTAGGCCCCGCAGCCGGCCCCAGCCAAAACCACCAACCAGGTGGCTCACTCTTCCTCCAGGCCCCAGACTCCGGGTGGCAGCCGGAGAACAGGGGTATGAGAAGACCCCGATCCTCCCTGCGCCTGCTCAAATGTGGTGTTGTTGCATGTTGCTCTCAGATGTAATTAAAACTGGGAGTACCAAGAGGGGGTGTCCGGCAAAATCCACCCCCCCTCCAGGAGATAGGCGGTGCCAGCGCACCACCCCATTCGACAACCCTGAACCCTCAATGTCTAGATACGAGAGGGGTTCGAGGAGGCAGACCGTGGTGAGGCCCATAAAATAAGCCCCCCCCCCGGTGGCCTTGACCCCCACCCCCCAGAAAATACCCTACATAGATGTGTGTTGTGAAAATGATGTAGATGGAAGTGTCTAAAATGCAAAATAAAATTGGGGTGGGGGACCCCAAGCCAGCAGAAGCAGCAAAAAGAAAGCAGCAGACGTGACCCCGCCGCTTCCGCCACGCCCGGCGCGAAAGCAGCACGACCCACCCCGCTCCGGCCCCGCACCGCCCATGGGCCGCCGAGAGGAGGACGGCCGCCTGCCCCCCCCGCCGCCAAACACCGAGCAACCCTCCACTCCCAAACGGCCCCGCGCACGATGCACCGCACCGCGCACCACCGACATCCTTACCAACAAAGCGAAGCCACACCCCCCGACCCGGTGGGCATCCCAGAGGGGTCCCACGACGCCCGCAACCAGCCCACAACAGACACACATGAACCCCGGCCGCAGGCACGACCACCCATGCACCCCCCCTGGACGACGCAACCACACCAAGCGCCATGGCCAACCACCGAAACCCGGCACCAAAAGACGAGGCATGCCCCGACACCCTGCAGAACCGAAGCACCCTGGCCAGCACCACAAAAGAACTGATGCCTTGCACCCAGCCCCACCCAGCAGCAGCACAGCTACCAGGCCAGTAGCCCACGTCCGCCACCACGAAACCCCCCAAGAGCACCACACGTGGCCGCCGCAGGACCCCCCCGAGGCGCCCCAGGCCCCGCCCCGATGGGGGCAACAGACCCCAGGGCTAGACCTGCCAGGCACCCCGCTCCGAGCGCCCCCCCAAGCCCCCCAGGACTCAAGGACCCCCGAACCAGCCCCCACGCCCCATAGGACACGCCCCACAGCCCCCCACTACACTAAGTGATGGAGCCGATCAAGGGAGCCCAGAGAGATCGGTCTGATGGGGATGCAGATGTTGTCTCAAGATTAATATGATCCAACAACAGATCTCTGTACTGATTGATGCTGAGTTTTTCCTTACTTTTCCAATTCATGAGGATAGTTTTCTTTGCGATACATAATGCAGTGAAGGCCATGCAAACTGATTTTTTTTCCATAGAGCTTCCCTCAAAGTCACCCAGCAAGCAAACTGGAGGGGAAAGTGGGATTTAACAACCCAGGCACAGCGATAGATCCTTACATACCTGTACCGAGAATCTCTGAACCTGAACTCCCTCAATTGTAGACCTGAGGGATTCTGTAGAGAGCAATTAATAGTATTAATTCAATTCAATTCAGTTTATTTATATAGCGCCAAATTCACAACACATGTCGTCTCAAGGCACTTTACAGTTCAACCAGATCATACAGTCAAATTGATACAAAGTTTTCTATCTAAGGAAAACCAGTTGATTGCATTGACTCATTGACTCAAATACAATCCCCCACACTAAGCATGCTTGTAGCGACAGTGGAGAGGAAAAACTCCCTTTTAACAGGAAGAAACCTCCAGCAGAACCAGGCTCAGTGTGAGCGGCCATCTGCCGAGGCCGACTGGGGTTCAAGGAGACAGAAGCAGAGATACAAAAAGCAGCTGTAAAAGGCGGCCCCGTCCAGGAAACACACAGCCAGGCAGACGAGCTCCAAGGCAGCTCCCATGCCAGAGGACGAAGAGAGCACATCCACTCAGTCACGGTCAGAGAAACAGGACCACACTGGAAAACAGGCCGATCTCCAACATCTATTAACAAGGGTGTTGATAGAAGCAGCACAGCTGATGTTTTTTTTTCCAGGATGACGTCACAGCCAAACAGGAACAGACGAGGCAAAGCTACTCTGAGGAAAAGCAGAGAGAGCAGAAGGTTAGAGATTGAACTAACAGATTCTGCAGAATAGGAGAACAGAGAGAGAATGAAGCAGAATGATGAAATGGGGGTCCCTATGTCCTCCAAAAGTCTAAGCCTATAGCAGCATAACTATAGAGATAGCTCAGGATAACCTGAGCCACCCTAACTATAAGCTTTATCAAAAATGAAAGTTTTAAGCCTAGCCTTAAAAGTAGACAGGGTGTCTGCCTCACGGACTAAAACTGGTAGTTGGTTCCACAGGAGAGGAGCCTGATAACTAAAAGATCTGCCTCCCATTCTACTTTTAGAAATTCTAGGAACCACTAGTAAACCTGCAGATTGAGAGCGAAGTGCTCTGTTAGGAACATAAGGAACAATCAGATCTCTGATATAAGATGGAGCTTGGCCATTTAAGGCTTTATATGTGAGAAGGAGGATTTTAAATTCTATTCTTGATTTAACAGGAAGCCAATGAAGAGAAGCCAGGATAGGAGAGATATGATCTCTCTTTTTCATTTTCATTAGAACTCTGGCTGCAGCATTTTGGATCAGCTGAAGGCTTTTAACTACAGTTTGTGGACTTCCTGATAGTAAAGAATTACAATAGTCCAGCCTTGAAGTAACAAATGCATGGACTAGTTTCTCAGCATCACCCCTGGACAGGATATTTTTAATTTTTGCAATGTTCCTCAGATGAAAGAAGGAAATTCTAGAAACCTCTTTGATATGGGATTTAAATGACAGGTCCTGATCAAAAATAACACCAAGATTTTTTACTTTATTATCTGAAATCAGTTTAATCCCATCCAAATGAAGTGACTGGCTAATCAGCTTCTTTTTCAGAGACTCTGGTCCAAAGACTATAACTTCTGTTTTGTCTGCATTCAGAAGCAGAAAGTTAAGAGTCATCCAGGTTTTTATGTCTTCAAGACATGCCTGTAATCTATGTAATGGGTTAGCTTCATCTGGATTTATAGACAGATATAGCTGGGTATCATCAGCATAACAGTGGAAATTAATCCCATGCTGTCTAATAATTCTACCAATTGGGAGCATGTATAAAGTAAAGAGAATTGGTCCTAGCACTGATCCCTGTGGTACTCCACAGGTAACCTTTGAGCGTGTTGAAGATCTATCATTAACATGAACAAACTGAATTCGATCAGATAGATAAGATTTAAACCAGTCTAGTGCTGTTCCTTTAATTCCAACAAAATATTCAAGTCATTCTAAAAGAATATTATGGTCAACTGTATCAAATGCGTCACTGAGATCCAACAGGACGAGCACAGATACAAGTCCATTATCTGAGACCATGAGAATATCATTAGTGACTTTCACCAGAGCTGTTTCAGTGCTATGATGAGCTCTAAAGCCAGACTGAAACTCTTCAAAAAGTTCATTATGGTGGAAGTGATCGCAAACTTGTTTGGCAACTACTTTCTCAAGAATTTTGGATAAGAAAGGAAGATTGGATATAGGTCTATAATTGACCAAGTCATCTGGGTCAAGAGACGGTTTCTTAAGCAGAGGTTTAATTACAGCAATCTTAAAAGCTTTAGGTACATATCCCTGTAACAGAGATAGATTAATCACATCTAAAATGGAGGAGGAGATCAAAGGGAATACCTCCTTAAATAACCTGGTTGGAACTGGATCTAACATACAAGTTGAAGGCTTAGATGAAGACAATAATTTTGCTAATTCAGAGAGTTCAACTGGATCAAAGCAGTCTAAACCCGGTTCAGATTCCATGACTACCTCAGGTACAATCGCGGATAGAGGAGTGCTTATGATCTTATTTTTAATAAGATCAATCTTATTTATAAAGAATCCCATAAAATCATTGCTGCTAAGAGCAGGTGGAATGGACGGTTCAACAGAGCTATGGCTCTGGGTGAGTTTGGCAACTGTATTAAAAAGAAATCTAGGATTATTCTTATTCTCCTCTATTAATGAGGAGAAGTATGCTGCTCTTGCTTTACAAAGAGTCCTCTTATACAGCAGTAAACCATTTTTCCAGACTAGGAAGGACTCTCGCAGGCCTGTGGAGCGATATTTTCTCTCCAGTTTCCTAGCATTTTGCTTCAAAGTACGCAGCTCTGCATTAAACCAAGGAGCAAGCTTTCTATTTTTAACGGTTTTCATTTTCAAAGGAGCTGCGTTGTCTAAGGCAATACGCAGAGAACTAGCAACCCCATCAACAAAATCATCAACCTGTGAAGGGGAATAAGCTAAGCTTTTGCACTCTGCAGCACTGCTCAGTGACACAGAGCAGAGAGAAAGTGAAGCAGATTCTTTAAAATTTATAACTGCACTATCTGATAAAGATCTACTAAAATTGAACCTTCTTTTGGGGGAGGAGAACTCTGTTAAAGTAATCCTGAAGGTTATTAGAAAGTGGTCAGAGAGGACAGGGTTGTGAGGAAATACTGTTATTTCTTCACATTCTATGCCGTATGTCAGCACAAGATCCAAAGTATGAAGATGAGAATGCGTGGGACTATTCACATTTTGAACAAAGCCAATAGTGTCTAAGATAGCATTAAAGGCTGCTCTTAAGCTATCGCCTTCAATGTCAGCATGGATGTTAAAATCTCCCACTATGATGACCCTGTCAGTATTTAATACCAAATCAGAAAGGAACTCTGAAAACTCATCTAAAAATTCAGAGTAAGGACCTGGTGGACGATACAAAGTTACAAAAAGAAGAGGTTTTCTTGCCTTGAAATTTGGATCAGGGAAATTAAGGGTTAAATGTTCAAAAGAGTTGTAGGTATTAATTGTTTTGGGAGTAATCAGTAAGTCAGACTGGAAGATTGTTGCTACTCCTCCTCCTCGCCCAGAACTTCTGGGGATGTGAAAATTTAAATAGCTTGAAGGAGTTGCCTCATTTATGCTCACATAATCCTCTTGCTGCAGCCAGGTTTCTGTAAGGCAAAACAAGTCAATGTGATTATCACAAATCAAGTCATTAACTAGTAGACTTTTAGAGGAAAGCGATCTTATGTTAAACAGACCGCATTTGATTGTTTTAACTTTTTCCCCAATTGGAGTTATTTTGATTTTAATTAGATTATCATGATTTACTCCTTTGGGAATCTTTGCTAATTTATTAGATTTTGGTCGTGGGCAAGACACTGTCTGGATGGAGTAAAGAGTGGGTAACAGTAGAGTAAAGAGTGGGTAACAGTAGGTAACAGTATTACAGATTTAGACCAATTTATAGAGTATTCTGAGACTTTTTAGAAAGATTCTAGTAATCTACTTGAGAGAGGCAAGTGTTTGAGTGCTGGAGATAAAGTAATACATCATCTGCGTAAAGACTAATCTTATGCTCTATTTTCATGCCTTTTATACCTTGAACCACATTAGTTTGTCTGATTGTAGCAGCTACAGGCTCAATGAAAATAGCAAAAAGTGAGGGGGAGAGCGGGCATCCCTGCCTGGTGCCCCTCTGGAGACAAAAGCTGGAAGATGTTTGATTATTTGTCCTGACACAGGCTGTTGGGAAGCTGTATAATACTTTTAACCAATTTATAAAGGAATTGCCAAAACCAAATTTATGTAGAATAGCAAATAAAAATTTCCAGTTTACTCTATCGAATGCTTTTTCTGCATCTAAAGACGATATATAGGATTTTATATTTTTACTGTAGGAATAATCTATTAAATTCAGCAGTCTGCGTGTGTTAGCAGCTGACTGCCTTCCTTTAATAAAACCAGTTTGATCTGGGTGGATTGTGAGAGGAGTGACTTTATCTAATCGTTTTGCTAAAGCTTTACAGATTATTTTAATATCCACATTAATTAAGGATATGGGACGATAGCTGGTCCGAAAAATAGGATCTTTGCCTAGCTTAAGCAGGAGACTAATGGTGGCAGAATTCATATTAACTGGAAATTTGCCATTATCTTAAGTTTCCTGCAGCATTCTGTGGAACGTTGGGGCCAGAATGTTCCAGAACTTTTTATAGAACTCAGTAGGGAACCCGTCTGGACCTGGTTTTAGATATTTTTGTGGTTTAACACACCTGATCCAGAAGAGCTCTGCTTAGCCTGAAAGTCAGCCACGACAGTATTAAACATGCTGAGCAGTTTTAACCAAAGTAACTCCAATGCATGTTCTTCACTGCAGTGGCTTGTGGCAACTCAAACCCCTCCTACCCGTCAATATATCATTGTTGATGAGCTGAAGAACTGGGCTGGAGCTCAGAGCTACTGCAGAGACCATCACACTGACCTGGCAACCTTGGAGAACATGGAGGATGTGAGGATGCTGGCTGACCTGGGAGCCTCTCTGGCTAACAGCTCTGTAAGTCCACCTTACTGTGATCTGACTGGGCTTTGAATGTGGCACTGGGTGATCACAGGAAGCTATACAGAAGTTCTGTGGAGGTAGATTGGCGACACTGTCAATAAAAAAACAGCAGAAAATTCAGAGGAGGTATCAAAATGTCGGGTTTCCTGCAGCCTCTGACCAAGTTCTGCTTCCAGGAGGTCTGGATCGGATTGTATGCAGATATGAACTGGACGTGGTCCATCTCGGATGGGGATCAGCAGGAGGAGAAGCAGTTCTGGAACTGGTACACTGCAGAACCGAACAATGAGTTTGGAAGAGAGAGCTGTGCTGCCATTGACATTGATGGGTCCTATTATGACGTCCCCTGCTCTCTGACCTTAGGGACGCTCTGCGTTGAAGAAAAGGGTGAGGATTGTTTTCCTTCTGCTTTTCACTTCAACTTCTCTGATTCTCATTTAAAGTGAGACCATTTAATATCTTATCGTCTGAAAATCATCTTAATGGTGATTATTTTTTTCAGAGACTCGCAAGTTTCAGTACAACAACCAAGAAAGGACCTGGAGCGAAGCCCAGAGCTACTGCAGGGAGCGCTACACAGACCTGGCCAACATAAGAGACACCTCTGAAAACCAGAGGATCAAGAACTTGATCACACGGCCAGTCTGGATGGGTCTGTACCGAGACCCCTGGAAGTGGGTGGAGGGAAGGAAGTCCTCCTTCAGGTTCTGGAACATCTTTAACCCTGATAGCAGGAAGAATGAATGTGCTGCTGCCAACTTTGGAAATGGTGGGAAGTGGGAGAAATGGAGCTGTGCTGAGAAGAAAGCCTTCATCTGTTCTGCTGGTGAGGAATCCTGCAGCGTTAGCAGCTGCAGATCAGTTCATGTTTCAGTCATACTTTGAAATAAGACATAAACACTGATCAATCACTCCAACATGAAACAAAAAAACGCTTGTTTGACCAACTGGAGAAAAAGTTCAACAGTTTCAAGCTTAACTCCCACTGAGAGAAATGTCATGTTATAAAGACGACAAAGCAAAGCTGTAGTCTGTATTAAAACAATGATCAGTGAGGTTGTTGGTGCAAAGCTGAGGGAGGCTTAGGCAGTGATCAACCTTCCTTCATTCATCCTGCAGATTATCTGGTAGAAAAGCTCAGAGTCTGCAGAGGTGTTTACTGCAGGAACTTTAATATCCATCCTCTAAAGGCGGTTTTAGTTTTGTTCTTTATCTTTATTGGTGGTTTAGCTGCAGAAAACATTTTTCTTCTTTTGCCATCATTAAAGTCGTAGGGAAGCGTTACATTTCCGAATTCTCCCGAGTGGTCCCCAACTTTACACGAGTGAATAAATTGAATGTGATTGGTCGATTATCAAGGGGGTGGGATTATTATGGCGGAAGGTTCACAAGCTTTTTGTTTGTGGCCGCTTGTTGGAAGCATCATGCTAACCAGTTAGCAACTTAGTGCTAGCAGGTTCCCAATGGGAAATTCCATTGGGACCAAGTAGCACTAAACTGGTGACTTAGAAACGACACTGTCAAGGAACGCTATGGACAGAGGAAACATGCAAGAGGAGGAGAGTTTAGTGTCGGAGGTCGTGGATGAGTCTCCTCCGTCATCCATTTTTATTTAGAGGAGGAAAGCAGGGATGAAGATGTTGTGGAAGAGGACGCGGTGTAGAAGGCTTCCAGCCGTACATGTTTGAGCCCTTGCCTCGCAACGCTGCCAGTTCTGTTAGCTCTACGCCTGCTGAAGACACAGACGTCCATCCCCGTGAACACTGGGACGCAACTCAATGGGAAAGGAAAGGATTCTGGTTTCTTATTTCAACCGTTGCGTATATTAACTGTGACATATGAATCAAGATGCTATGACCGGAAAAATTTGATTGACAGATGACCGTTGATATATGATTGGCCGAATTTAGGTGTTCAGGCTAACAGATAACTAACTGGCCTGCAGAAGATAATGGAAAAAACACAGATTTTAAGACAGGATTTTTTTTTAAAGAAATGTTCTAACTTTTGGGACAATATGGTCTGACAAAGAGAACATTTATAGCATGACGGTCTGACCGCTGGTGGAGCCGTGCCGTTAGATGTTTGCTATAAAGGAGCTTTCTGCTGCTGGAATGAAGCATGATTCCAGACTAACGGAGATCTTTCCTTCTCCCAGTTCCGTCCTCTAAGCAGATAGTGAAACTGAAGCTCCTCTTCTCCTCATCTGCGGCTCAGAATCAGCCTGCTGTTCTGGACGAGCTGCTCAGGAAGGTAGAACATCTTCATTTATTGGATCAGAACCCCGTTTGTGTGAAGAGAGATTAATGCTCAGGAAATATCTGTGTTTCAGCTGAAGCAGAAGCTGCAGGACGATGGCGTGAGAGGAGACCTGAAGCTGAGCTGGAGGAAACAACCAGATGGACGGGTCCTCAAGAAGGACAAGAAGAAGAAAGACGAACTTTAAGCTGGAGTCTTTTTTTTTAAAGGGTTTCTGGGTACAGATCTGTAGGAAATAGATGAAACCATATTAGAAATTAGTTCCAGATTTCAACAGAAACTGTTAAAGGAGGAAACATCGAACCGTATGTCAGACTTAAAGATCTGCTAGGAGAAGGAGGACAAACCTCCCTTTGAAATCTCCATTTAATCTGAATTAATAACAAAAATAAAGATTTTATTTAAAATCCATCAACTAAAGGTTATTGATTCCTGATCAAATAAATCACTGAATAAAACATCCAAATAATTTACTTCATTTTCATTGAATCGGTTTGAAAACATTAAATTGCTCTAAATGAGTGAATTTGATCACATCAAATCAAATACTTCAGGATAAACTTTGGTTCTTAAACATAAAATCATAATAATCTGTGAAATAATTGCATCATCGTCTCATTATGGTTTCCAACCTTGTTTTCACTCTTTGTTCATAGTAGTTTAGTTAAACTAGTTTTTAATCAAGAGTTTTGAACTGAAATCTGTTTGACTTGTAGCTGAATCTGTTTAGTTAATAAACTCTTTATTTTACTGGAAGTTGTGGTGAATTTATTCCATATCTTTGCAGAATGATCTGATTTGAGCTCGATTTACACTTTCATCTGTAGTTTTAACACACAGCCAGTTGGGGGCGTTTTCAGAAACAATATATGAAAGTCCAAATGTTATAGGGGGACATCTGATTGGAGGAAAGGATGAAGGGTTAAGAAACAAGCACACTGCAAAAAATAGAAATCTCAATAAGTTATTTTTTCTTAAAATAAGTGCGTTTTTCCTTATTTTGAGGAGGTAAGTAAGACACTTTGCCAATGGAACAAGACAATTTCCTTTTAAAATAAGAAAAAACTATTTTATCGTCTTATTTCAAGTAAATATTATCTAACTATCTTATTTTAAGAGTGAAAATACTCATTCCATTGGCAAATCATCTTATTTACCTGCTCAAATTAAGGCTAAATATACTTAATTTAAGCCATTTTTTACTTATTTCTGGATTGTTTTTGCAGTGCAGCTAAAACAGAGAAATGCTGACAGGTCAGTCTTCCTTCACATTAACAGATTAGCAGCATAGAGAGGAAAAATAACACAAGAAAATTAGAATAAGGATTCATGAGGATGAGAATAAGCTTCAAACATTTTGTTGGCATTATTTAATTCAGCTAAGTGTTTTATTAGAATTTTAAAATCTGCTTCCACCCGTTTTTTTTTTTTTTTTTAAACCAGAATATTTTCATGTGAAATTAAAGCCTGAAGCATCAGGCTGGACCTAAAACCACTCAACCCTAAAAAAGGACGACCGTTTCACGTTTAGCACTGAAAAAAAAACACAGAACCAATTCAGGAACTGTTTTTTTTATAAAGGCAACATTTGATTCTGAAAGATTTTTCATAAATGTCATCAAACTGCATTAAATATGAACTAAACACTCGGCTCTCTGGACCCTTGGTCTCCTGGACGCTCGGCATTCTGGATGCTCTGGGTTCTGGCTCCTTATGCTCTGGATGCTCGTATGCTTACACTTGTAGTTCTGGCTGCTCAGCCGTATGGACGCTCAATGCCCTGGACACTCTGCCTAAAGCTCTGCTGCGGCATATTGTAGTATGTTGTCGGGAACTGTAGACAGCCGCAACCGTCAGGGTTTCACCATATTACTAACACTCATAATGTGTGAAGGTGCCTCAGCCTATTATGTGTAATCAGTAAAGCTGGTTAAAATACATTTTTTTGTTTGAGGTTTTTTGTACCCTCTATGTTCCTTTGTGTAGTCCTACGAGTACGAGTACCCCACTCTGCGAGATACTGTTCTGTTTTCGACGTACCTGTACATACAGGTGCTCTCACATCCGCAGACAGCGACAAACAGACTGAACCTCTGGGAGGGCCATTGTGAGCCCTTAAAACTGAAACACAGTGTTCAAAGGAATATCTAAGATGCTGAAGCTGCTTGGAGTTGCACTGTTTCCTCCAGAGAGCTCTCAGCCATTGTTACGAGGAAATGGGTCACTGCCTTTGACTGACAGCGTTTGGCTGCAGGGAGCTGCCAACCTCATAAAGCTCCGCTTTATTTTTCAATTTACTGTCATTTCATCTCGAAATTCATAATGTTTGCTTTGATCTACTCTAGGTCATTACTGATCCATATGGTCCTCTTTAACCAGAGGCACGATCAGAGGTTCCTCCAAGCTGATTATTTACTCTCTAACTCATCCAGCTTGTTATTGACTCACCTGCATTGCCATGAAATCCTCCTTTTATTTGGTTTGATTTAGTTACCAGGAGAGATGATGAATCATCTGCATCAGAGCTCTGGACACATCACTGACAGCTCCACAGACTGCATTTTCCTGGAGCAGCTCATCGTCTGTGACGGTGGAGATGAAGCTGCTGGTTGTGTAATTTATCTCATGGCCATCCAGTCTGAGATACAGACTGAGGGCTGCACTCCTGTGGATCACAGGGCCAACACATGGTTCCAGGATCTGGTCATTCTCACTGTTTCCACACTCGTCTCTGAATTCAATCGAATGGCGCATCTTGGTTTCCCAACAGCTGATTGGCTGCTGGGTGGAGAGTTTTTAAGCATTTAGATCTGTCCTGAACGCAGGTTAACTGTTCAGATAAAGTGACAATGATAAGTAGCTTCTCTAAGAATGAATCCAGCTTTGTGGTACCAGAAAGTCAGGATTAAACCTGAAGTTACCTCATTAACCCAGTAGTTCAGGCCTCAGGGCTAGACTGGCTGTATGGCAAACAGGTCGATGCCTGGTCGACTGAAACACGTTTTTGGACCTTCGCAAGGACTTCATGATGTAATCAAAAACATATTTACTAGTGATAAATGGTTAAATTAATTGATGAATGAGACCACAGCTTTATGAGACGAAAAAAAAAATTCTTACCATATTTTCACGACTATAAGGCGCATATAAACGTCTTTTTTTTTTCCTCAAAATGTGCGGCGCGCCCTATAGTGCGGTGCGCCCTATGTGTGTTGTTACTGCGGACGTTGTTGAGACCACCATGAGAACGTTAAAGGGGGAAGTGTGGGCGTGGATTGTGTATAAAAGAACAGGTATGTGCTTTATGCAGAACTCCTCATCTCCTCAATGAGGAGATGATGAAAGAGTGGCTGAGGGAGGTGAATGTAAGGAGACCAGGTGGTTTTTTCCACTCATCACCATCGCTGTTAATCTGCTACTCCATGCGTGCCCATCTCACAACCGGTGTGAAAAACATGGTGAAACAAATGAACGCTGTGCTTGCTGTTATTCCGGGAGGTCTGACAAAGGAACTTCAACCGCTCGACATCGGTGTGAACCGGCCGCTCAAAGTAATGCTACGTTCACGCGTCTGCTGCTTCATTTTAGCTGCTTGTACCAGTTAGTTCTGACGCGCGGCTGAAGCAGCTTTGCTGCTCTGGCTACGCGGTGCAAAAGTGTGTCTGACGCACGTTGGGCGGAGCTACTCTATCCTTTCTTTGCCTCTCAGCTATATTTGCTGTGATCATTGAATAAAGTAGTTTTAATATGTTTTTAAGTGAGAAAGTCCACCTGAAAACTTAATCATTGCAGTCAGTTCATCCAGATTATAATCCTGCCTTCCAATTTTATTTCTGTCGGAGCCGCTCAGACCCCCACATACCAGCGGTGCGCTGTCAGTAGGAATACCATTCAGCAGCAACCTCTGGCCGGGTCGCCTCCTCGCGGTTCACCGCAGCAGCTGGTAGGTGTTTTTCATCTAAATAATCTAAACTGCAGGCAGCAGGATAATAAACGCGAACATATTCTGCCGGCAGATTTCTGCATTTATGCGTCAATAACCTGTTTCAGAGGAGTGATCACAGCGCTCTGTGTCATCAGCGATGAGTCTGTCTCACGGCCAGCTCCCAGGTTTGATTAATACTTTGTAATAAATACATGAATAAAGCACAATCATACTCAGTTTTTCTCCTGCTCTATTTTTAAATACGCAGTAGAGGTATCTAAACGTAGTAGAGGACATGTACCTGTATATAAAACCTGCGCCCTATAGTCCGGTGCGCCTAATGTGTGTATTAAATACAGTAAAATACAGTTAAATAAAGGCACACATAACTGGCACACATAACTGTGTGTGTGCGCGTATTTTCACGCCTTATGGTCGTGAAAATACGGTACTATTATTTGGATAATTTCTCTCTTTGCCCCAACTCCCCTAACTGTCAATTTAGGGAATAATCTTTGTACATTATTGGTTTTAATTAAGGTATTTTTGTCTACAGTGGGGCAAAAAAGTATTTAGTCAGCCACCAATAGTGCAAGTTCTCCCACTTAAAAAGATGAGAGAGGCCGGTAATTTTCATTATAGATATACCTCAACTATGAGAGACAAAATGAGAAAAAAAAATCCAGAAAATCACACTGTCTGATTTTTAAAGAATTTATTTGCAAAATATGGTGGAAAATAAGTATTTGGTCAATAACAAAAGTTCATCTCAATACTTTGTTATATACCCTTTGTTGGCAATGATGGAGATCAAACGTTTTCTGTAAGTCTTCACAAGGTTTTCACACACTGTTGCTGGTATTTTGGCCCATTCCTCCATGCAGATCTCCTCTAGAGCAGTGATGTTCCGGGGCTTTCGCTGGGCAACACGGACTTTCAACTCCCTCCAAAGATTTTCTATGGGGTTGAGATCTGGGGACTGGCTAGGCCACTCCAGGACTTTGAAATGCTTCTTACGAAGCCACTCCTTCGTTACCCGGGCGGTGTGTTTGGGATCACTGTCATGCTGAAAGACCCGGCCACGTTTCATCTTCAATGCCCTTTTGACGATACATGGCCCCATTCATTCTCTCCTTCACACGGATCAGTCGTCCTGGTCCCTTAGCAGAAAAACAGCCCCAAAGCATGATGTTTCCACCCCCATGCATCACTGTAGGTATGGTGTTCTTTGGATGCAACTCAGCATTCTCTCTCCTCCAAACACGACGAGTAGAGTTTTTACCAAAAAGTTCTATTTTGGTTTCATCTGACCATATGATATTCTCCCAGTCATCGTCTGGATCATCCAAATGCTCTCTAGCAAACTTGAGACGGGCCTTGACATGTACTGGCTTAAGCAGGGGGACACGTCTGGCA